ATCTTGTTGTGTGGCCCTAATTCGCTGTTGTAAATAAAAAAGTTTGAATTATGGGGGGAAAAATCCTGCAAAAACTCCAACATTTGTTTAGCAAGAACTCTATTTCCTTTAATTTTTCGTTAAATACTTTTTGTGATGCAAATCTACTGAGTTTTCTTTCAGCCCACTCATAAAGGGGTAGTTCAGACTTTTCGAATGGGGTTCGGATAAAACATGATTYAAAGGGCCAATATTATTGTCATGGTGTGAGGCAGGAAAAAACCCAGGGCGCAGGCAAAAATCTCCAAATTTCAAAAAGATTTATTTTAACAAAAGATACTGACAAGGCAGCTCAAAATTACTCACAGGGAAATCTTCTCAGGCGAACATGAGGACACCACAACGGCTGGGGAAGAACAGCAAATTAATCAGACAAACACTGAGGACAGGACACAGAATATACTGTAAAGGCAAGCAAACGAGGGACTGATTGGAAACACCTGRGGAGGAAACATGAGGATCAGGTGTGCCTGGGAGGAAACACAGAAACACTAGCAAAACCAAGGTAAAAAACACACAGACCATGGCAATTATGGGTTTCTCAGGCATTATTGTTTAATTCTATGCCATAATAAATTAACTATGTTACCTTCAGTTGTTTTGAAAATGCTGTTTAAATGTGTTAATCAAAAAATGTTTTGACTTCGCATCACATCCATTTCTAAATGCCTTGAAATTGGCCTCTGTCTCTTTAAGAACCTCCTACTGCTTCCGTCACGCCCATTTTTGCAGTCATCACCCTAACYGGAAAGTACATTTTCTGAAGAACCAGAGCAAGTACAGAGAYAACGTTTCAGCTTGGTGAGAAATCTCTCAGTCTTCCTTACATACACACATCAATGATAAGCTAATTTATTTATTACTAAAATATGGAATAAGCCAACTAAAAAACACAGATCACAATATAAGTTACGAGTGATAACCGTAGATCACAGACAGACCAAACAACCGAACAAAACAAGTGAGTTGTTTTTCAGCTTACGACAACGGTGTTTGTGTATTTTGAGTGTTGGAATTGCATCGTCTTTTAGTGATAACCTTGTTATTAGTCCACTGTTAAATTTCGTTTTGTTCAGAAAGCCATCATCTGTAAAGTGGCTCACACAAATAATAATTATTTTTTTCCATCTGAGCGTTACTTGTCTAACCATTATTTTTAAGAATYGTGTCAYCCATGGGAAGTTTACAAAGATAATCCTAAAGCAACGTTGAAATAATTGGGCATTTTTCTATCTGGCAACCCTGGTCTCCAAACACTCCTACTGCTGTCTGTACTCCATGTAAGTAACTTGACAGAAGCCCACTTCAAAAGCTCAACAATATCCCAATAATGCTAGACTTGCAGAGCACTGAATGAGTTATACCATAGATAAATTATAAATGACAAATTGATGTTGGGTCAGATCACTTTTTACTCATGGAAAATAGATTTAGGTAGGTCAGTGTGGTTGCACGTGTCAGGAACTGGAGCAATTTGGAAACACCGGAAATGTTTAGCTGTAACAGAGTAGGAAAATGAATTACTGTTGCACCTTCAGAAGTTAAAATCTCAACCCCCAACTCATTTTTCAGCAATATGCCAGATCAAATGACTGATTTGGCAAGAATGCTGGACCAGCATTGTGCAAAAACAAAGTTGCTGTTGCCTCTGCTGTGCTTGACACCATATACTGTGATGGTTGCTAAATTGTGCAGCTGTAAACCATTTCAGGAATGACAGAACAAAGAGGCCAGAAACTGAAGGTGAAGCAGACTGGTGAGGCTGTGGAAGTGGAACATTTCTTTTTGTCAGATAAATGTTGAATGCTATATTTACCATTTTTCATCTCAAAGGCAACACAATTCATACTTTTATTCTCTTTCTTTTTCTATATTTTGCAAGTTTTTGTCAGGTCCCAGAAATTTTGGGTTGAATTTCCTTAGAGGACTGTACCATTGGCTGCTCCCTCATGCTTGTACCTCAAATGTCTTTGCAAGAACTGCACCACCTGATGCCCAACGGCTAACAGCAAAAAGGATGATAGAGGGCACCAGATCATTCGTCATCTGCTGATACACCTAAATTTCATGACCCCTGACCTCACCAGTCCCCCACCTTGGTCTTTAAACAAGAAGCACAGAAAAAAAAAGGAGAGAGACGAAAAGAAGAACTGAGGTTTTGCTGGCCCTGAGGGATGTTTGTGTTCCCTTTCTGCTCATGAACCATGAGTGACAGAGCAGAAACACTGCTAACATACCGAAGGTTTTACCAGACAAGTGATAGGTGAGTTTGGGGTGGGGGGGACACCACCTGCAGGTGTGTACATGTGGCTGTGTGTGCAAAACAGATCGCATGGCTGACACCCGGACCACCCCAATGTAGCTGTCCAGCATGATTCCCATCAACAAACGTCTGTATTGGAGGCAGAAAAGGAGGAGAGCGGTTGAGGGATGTGGTAAAAAGGATGTGCCAGATGGGGTTGGTAATGATGATGAATTGTGGGGAACACAGCTCRGTTTAGATTAAGATCTACAGATAAACTGGCCTGCTGGGTATTTCAGTAACCCTATACACGTCTTTCTGTCCTGCMCTCACTGACGTGACTCATCGCGGTTCTGCTCACTATCTCACAACAGTTTTTTTGTTTTTTTTGTTGATCTGAAAAGACCGAACTTTAAAACCGAACTCTCCAGTCATCGCTCTTCCCGTCTATTTGTTGGACCTCCGACATGTGTGTCCATCAATGCTCGCATGCACGGATGTGTGCGTAATCTCCTTTCTGTAGTCTCAGAGATGTTTTTTGGCAAACAGAGCTCAGACTGACATGAATTGCAGCCTGGACATATGTTCAGTAAATCTTGGCGACTGTCAAGTTTTGAGACACCAGCAGAGCCAAGTGAGAGAAAATGTAAGACAAGCATTAAAAATAGGAGCTTAGCACAGTTGAGAATAATTGTGATAATGTGGAACAAATATTGGAGGCCACACGTGCTCTCTGTGTGGTTAATAGTCTAAACATATGACAGCAACACAGGCCTTTGTACCAATCTGACAACCTTGAAATGATAAAAAATTAATATTTGTGTTGCTTGTACATTGTTCTTTACCTCAAAATGGTAATGAAAGAAGTGATTGTCCTATTTTGACTGCTTCTCATTGTTGAATTATAAGAGAGCTGAGAGTTTCTCACGTCTGTCTACAACAGAAAGCCACCAGAATTATGAGCAAAKAAGTGTCTACAATTTAACGTTTGCACAGTTTTTATAGTTTAATTTTAGTCTTTGTTTTTTATAATAATAAAAAAACAATCCATTGAAATAAAGTGATTTTAATTGTTGAAACTCTTGAGCTGCTTGATGTCCTTCATTAGCTCACTTTCTTTCTCCTTGTTTGTCTCACTATTGTGCACCGATAAAGATGACTAGTTTTTTTTTCTCATATTTTAAGAACATGGGTCTCCTCAGCCACAGCATATTTTCTTATGGCAATAAAAAAGACACTTTAATGATGTTTTTTTTAAGTAAACGAGGCAATTTATAAAACCTTAATTTTATTTGTTAACATATATTTAACCAGGCAAATCCCACTGAGATCACAGATCTCTTTCGCAAGGGTGGCGTGGGCCTGAAAGCAACCTATTGTACGGGTTTTTGGGCTGCGCGGGAATCTGGAGTACCCAGAGAAAACCCATGCAAGCATGAGGGGAACATGCCAACTCCGCACACAGAAAGACCCCAGGTCCRAACCCASGACCTYATCGCTGTRAGGCATCAGTGCTAACCACTGAGCTGTYGCGGTGCTGTCAAATAGTCATAAAGCAGTATTGGAAGAGTATGCCGTCGTATCCTATACTTTCCCTTTATATTCAAAGCACTTGAAGGGCAATGTTGTTGGCCTGAATTTATYATTTTAATCAGTCTTTAATCTGATACTGACTTCACCATTAATTTTATTACAACCGTGAAGTTCAGTTGGTAACAAGTCGTTCCTTTTAAAAATGTACCCACTTTAATTTTGCACTTGTGTCCTTTAGAATTCACATCATCACGAGCCTTTGGACTCTAATGTAGCAGAGACTGGACTGGAGTCTGGGGGAGCCAAGGGGGCTGAGACTAAGATTGCTGGAAAGTATTCCCTTTGATAAGCCGGCCAAGAAGCCTTTGATTAAATGTGGTCCCAGCAGGAGCCCACACTAGGTCCTCTGTGGCACAACCATGTCCCATCACCAGCTATCAACAGCCCTGGGTAATTACAGCCATATAGTCATTAGCCTGGGACCCACCTGGAATTCCACATAGCGAGGGGTGGGAGAGGGCCAGCAGGGGTTGGGGTTTTAGACTGGGCCTTTAATAAAACACTTCCTTCTCCTTGACTGATATAACACCCCACCTCCACCACCACCACCCTGATCCACACAGAATCATCCTTTGTTACCAACATATATTGTATTATCAGTGCTTCAGTCCAGTGTCTTTCAGCTCAAGATGGTGAGGAAAAACACTTACATGTCTCACGTTACATTAGCATTAAATCATATTCACTGTTCTGTTTAGTCAAAATAGATTCAGCTGGATTATTTCCCCAAAACTTTCTAAAAAAATCTGCTTGAACACACACACACACACAAAAACATGCCAATATCATACTAATACACCATATATTTCATATGAACATCTGTTTGGATAAGGCAATATACAAAAATGTTACACAAGCAAGCTCCAGAGCAGAGAGGTGAAATCTTTGTTGTGGTCGACGAGTGACCGTCAAGGCCTTCGTTTTCTTCTCAGCAGCAGTTTTTCATCTCACACACGAAAAAAAAAAAAAAACAACTAAAGTACACTGTGTGATCACAGCTATGGGAGTGCTCGTCTCTCTCCCAGTGTCGGTTGATGTAGTGCAGTCTCATCTACAGATGAGGAATGAAACAACACTTTACAATTTAAATAAAGTTCTTTAAATGTGTTTTTTCTTCTTCACCTTCTTTTCAGTTTCATTAACCACCTCGGTAACACGTCCATTCATTTATTTGATTTTTTTTTCAGGTGTCCGTGACTTTCTCTTGTTGTAGTTCTCACCCTAGATTCCTGTCTGACCACACAGTTTGTGGTCACAGCCAAGTGCATAATTAGATGTCCACTTTTTAAATTGCACTTTCTAAAGTACTTTTCCACTGTCTGACCATTTTCTTTGATACATAAAAAACCAGAAACAAAATAAGTGAGTATATGATGTGATGTTGCTGTAATAATACTGTATATGTTTGAAGGCTCARGTAATGTAAAGATTTGCCTTTAAAGCATCATGAAAGCAGCAAACCATTTAAATCACAGAACCACACACAGGAGAAAATAAAAATTTAAAATAAGGCTGTCTGTACTGAATCTGCGATGAAAGCCGAAGTGGTATCTCTGCTTTTTCTGTTCATCAGATCCCAGTAGTTCAATCACAAAGCCATTCACCAACTGTAGCTAATGTGATTAGTTCATATTGATGGGTACTGGGTTCTAGTGCTTTAACAGACAGGTCAAAAAAATGCCATGCAATGATGAAACAAGGTGAGGGAAGAGAAGGGTGGCAACAACGCAGAGCATTTTTTTGTTTGTTTGTTTTTTTTTTTTTGGCCAAACTTTCCCAGAATGCCATGTCCCACAGGATGTCCTGCAAATGGGGAAATGGGTGGGGTTGCATTACAGGGAGCAGAAAGGGTGTGTGTGTGTGTGTGTGTGTCCTCAGGTCTGATCCAGCCACTCTGCTCGTTTAGGTGCCTTGCAGGTGTGTACGTCCACAGCCTCCTCGCAGTCCTTGCACTCCACGGCGCAGCACCATTTGAACTTGCACTCGCACTTGGTGATTTGCTTGACTCGCGTAGTGTCGTAGCCACGCCCACAGCACATGACCTCGCAGCCGTCGGTGCCACGCGACATCTTGTTGCAGATCCGTCCAGCTGTGCCAAGGGACCCTGCACAGAGTTTTAAACTGTTGATTTCCAATACGTTGCAAAATAAACAAGAATAGAAGCTTCATTGTTTAAGATGCTTAGAACAAACATCCCACCCTTATTTGTAACTTATTGTATTTTATCACTTTTTTTTCATGAAAGATTCAAACGTTTCTGGGTTGGTCAAMTTGTGCTGCAAATCCGCTGACATCTTTTTAATCCTTAGCTGGAAAATATATTCACAAAATTTGGCCTGAGAGTCATTTTTAATTGCCCAAAACTCATTGGCCGATTTTGTAATAATTGTAATTTTTATGATTTATTCATGCTTTATGGGCAGAATCAATTATTCTGGAATGGCAAAGCTTAGGCTTCACTTGGCATTGTACAAATTCACACTCAACAAGTACAAATCCATATTTTCACACAGATTAAAACTAATTTCATTTATGTCCACAAGATATTCTTTTAAGTTATGAATGACATTYACGTTCCTCAAAACATCCCTAGTTTAAACTAATTTATGTATTTTAAGGAGCTAATCTTTAAAAACTAAAGTAAATGTTAAATATTGGATGATGATATGCATGCATCAGCAGACCCACTTCATGCAACATCAGCATTTTGCTTTTTGCCAGCGTGGTTTATTTGTTCACATAACATGCATTTTATTCTAAAGCAATTCTTTTTTCCTCTTTTTGCTGTCAGAAGGTGAAACTGGGATTAAAAACGTTGCTRCTGCAGCAGTCCAGTACATTGCATCACCTATCGGTAAGAATTGGATTCACTTAGKGTTCTTAAAGAAGACGCAGTTTCCAAACAGCATAAGCTTTCAGTTTTAGGGTTAAGTCATAAACTTTTTTTTTTAGAATTACATCTAAAGCAAGCATGAAAGGCATGCATTTGATCAGTAACAGGCCCCACAAAGACAAAAGTACATAAAAGTGTAACAGCCTGAAGCAGACCATCAAGTCCTCAAAGGAATATAGKGGAGATTAACTTCTGCATGAATTAGATATGAATTATCTTAATAGTCTCTCAGCTTACAGCAGCCAGCCTCTTAGGAAGTATGTTWTTTAATTTTACCACAGTGATCAGTTCACAAAACAGAAAACTACAGAAACTATGAATGCAACTCACAAATGTGCTAATTTGAACATTTTAAAGAACAGTGGCATTGTCCTATTTYAAAACCACACTATTAAAACAAAACATTTTTTCTTCCAAAATAAGACAAAAAAAAGTTAAGAAACTAGTGTAGCAACAACTCAAGGCAACCTTTAGTTTAATGAAATCAGTGTATGCTAATGGAGCCAAAAGTGCAGAACTTTTACCACGTCTGACATAATGACTAAACCTGAAGGTGGTATATAAAGTATCTGTTTTTGAGTAGAACGTAAGATATTTGACCTTGACGGGGTTTTATTCTGTGTGGTTACGGTGTTGAATCAATTAAAACCACCAGTGACCAGCATGGATCGCTCTGTAGAGCTTGCCAGTTGGCCGTTACCCAGTGGCGTGGCATGTTGTCTGTGTCTTTGGTGAATGTCATCTTCACAGAGATTTGTGCTCATGTTTGGTGTGAGAAGTTCTCTGTTTGAACTGGTACCTATCACAACAAGCTGCCCGTAGAACAACAGACCCACACACACAACTATGCAGTGTTGGTAGAGTGGCCTGTAGTTACACTGCCTTTCCCAAGCCACTGCTCCCTTTGAAGCAACTCTGTGTGTGTGTGTGTGTGTGTGTGTGTGTGTGTGTGTGTGTGTGTGTGTGAGGGTTAAATGGACAGTGGAGCGTGACAGACAGACAGGCTCTCACACTCTGAGGCCCACTCTGCCCTCCAGCTATGCTTAGTTCAGACCGACAGAGAGGGAGAAAAACTGTGACAGACATAAAGAAGTGACTTTTTTTAAATTAGCTGCTTGTGTCCCTAGGCTGTGGATTCCATTGAGAAGGTGAGAAAGAGGTGGGGGGGGGGGGTGAGATGATGAAGGGATCAGAGAACAAAAAGGAAGAAGAACTGGAAAGAGCTTCCTAATGATGAAGGTAAATATCTAAAAAATGTGCCCCGCACAGCTTCATCTATCAACCAGTGAGTTTGAATCCGTCACATATGACTTGTTAAATTGTGCAAAAGGTTGGTTGACGCATCTTTTGACCACAGGGCTGTGTGTATTTGTTCATTGATAGGCTGACAGAGGTCAGATGGTCACAGAACGACCATGTCCTCAGGGGAGAAGGATATTAGCTTCCACCAACATCACAGGGGAGGCCTGCTGTGTTATCCGACTACCATTACACCCACACACCGACATCCACCGACATCCACGCACACAAAACACACTAGTCATGCATGAAAATACACACAACATACACCTAACACCCCTAAAACATAACAGTCTGGGCAATCCATCAACAGTCATGAGAAACTACTCCTCTGTCTTTCATTCTGCCCCCTTCTCTGTCTTACCTGCAGCTTTGTCTTGGAGGCAGTAATCCGGAGAGTTCTCAAAGTAGACCAGGTCGTTTTTGGTGGCCTTCCTGAAGGCTTTGTTGGCTACAGTGAAACCTGTCCCGTCCTGATTCATTGTCACCTCAACTGCCCCATTGTATTTCCTCCTCAAGTAGTCACCGGTCTTCCTGAAGTCTGCCATGGCCATCCAGCATGTCCGCAGTGTGCAAGAGCCGCTTACGCCGTGGCATTTGCACTCCARCTTCATGAAGCGCTTCACAGCCTGAACAAAGAGGTTTGGATTCTTGAAATCGTCTAAGCTATGGGTTGTACAACTCAGAAAAAAACAGCAATGCATATATATATATATCAGTTTCATCCAGTATTCTCCACTCCACACAGTCACTTTTATTCTCTGCCAATCCTTCCTCCGTACTCTCACCACC